ATAAATAAAAATGAAAAATGGAAAAAAGAAATAAATAAAAATAAAAGAAGCAAAGCGTCAGATAAGCATGAAAATGTTTTATGCTTTTCTATTGAACTTTGCAGCGGGGGCCACACAATTGAAAGTCAACGGCAAAAGGCTTTAAAAACTAACTATACTTATTATAATAATAATTATTAATTGCTTTGTGGCAGGTGGCTCGAGGCAACTCTCACAATTCGCTTTCCGATGCAGTTGCCTTTATGCAATCCATTCGCCAAAAGACAGTTTTTGCCTTTGGTCGAAATGGGCACTTAGGGTAGTCTAATCTTATCACTCGAGGTACGCTAATGTGTGCCGATATTTCAACAGTATCAAAGTCCAGAAAAAAATAAAAAAACAAAAAGCAAATTAGAAATGAAAGTTACAAGGCGTTTGAGTACCCTACAGCAACTCTACTGTATATATAGATAAATGAAAACGTCATCGTCATTACTTTCATCAATATCTTTATTGGGAACTCTAAAGTTTAATCAATATTTACTTTTACATTGACTATAAACGCTATATTTGCCGAATCAGTCAATAAATATTTTTGTCAATTTATTGTTAAATGCGCTACACTTGATCACCAATTAGAAATGAAAAATAAATTAAGAAATTGACGCATTAGTGACTCATAATTGATAAGAATTTTGATAAACAGAAGAAAAGAAGTAAATAATTGCAAAAAAAAAATATATATATATAAATTGTTTAAGTAATATCTGCAACAGTATATCTCAGGAAGTTACAAATTTGAAAGATCTAATCTAATGGAGAAAATTATTCATTATTTCCGCATAAAAAAAAAATTATTACAGAACAGCAAAGATAATTGATAAAATACTCTTGAAATCTTTACATTCCAGACTAAGTGCTCTTTAAGTTAAGTTATCTAGAACAATAACGGTTCTTAGCATTTCTATAACATGTTCATAACATGCTCACTTCAAGGCAAATCCATTTGCTCCATGCCACAATGCCACAACTCAACTCTTTAGATGCGCTGATCCATCACGAATAAACTACAATATAATTGCGCGCAATAATTTCGTCAGCTTGTCCAAATTGTTCACACATGTGCCTGACTAATCCATATAGATTCACGACGCGTTTGTCTTTCAAATCCTAACGTCTCAAATTCTTGAAGACAATGCGTTGATCACATGTTCCCAGGCCCCCAGACCTAAGCGTAACGGCCCAGTCATAAATCAGGCATTAATAAATTTCAATCTACGCAAATTTCGACAGTTGAGAATCGGCAAATGGCCAAACATCTTTGTTGGGCACAAAGAAGCAAAAACAACAAATATATAAATTTGAAATTCTTTGCTAAATGTCAATTAATTATTAAGTGGAACCAAGAAAAGGAAATACAAGAAAAATACAATTTTGTATTTTATTTAATTATAAAGTCGCGGCATGTTCCATGCATCCATGGAATTTTTATGTGCCCGAACTCGGGAGTCACTTGTGCTTCGGCTGCTGTTGCTGCTGTTGCTGCTGCTCTTCTGACCCAGCCTACCTTTATATATTGTGTTAACTCATTTCCTGCGAAAGTGATGGACAACAACTGAGAATTATGATATCACGCTGAGCTCATCTTTTGTATCATCAAAACTGCAAAGTGTTCGCCCAGCCTGATCCTAACCCGGACCAGGCATGTAAGTTCAAAGTTGTATACGGAACAAATATACAAGCAACAAAAAAAGGTCTTAGTTCAAGCACGGCAAACTTAAAAGTTGTCAAGGCATCACATTCAACTTTTTCTTTTTCTTTTTTGGGAGTAAACTCTTTGGGGTTACAGATGTCTGCCTCATGGATGAAACAGTTTAAATGTGTTGTCTGTCATACAACTGTTTTGGATATAAAAAATGTAATTTGTTTTATGGGAAAACTGTTATAATAATAGAGTATTACATTACAGCTAGTATATTACATATATATATATTTATAGGGTATCTCATAGTTAAATTGATATAAAATAGATCAGCATAAACCATATTTTTCTATTGACTCGAATTACATTCTCTCCCCATCTTATTAATTCAAAGCTGTGCATCCCTATTCCCACTTAAATGATCGAATTTTTTGTAAGTTGTTTGTTTATGTCGGATATTTATTGCATGTTTTGGGCGTAACAATTACAACAACAATACAAAAAACAATTCACAAATGTCAGTCACGCTTAATAAACTTAAAACGAAATTGCCGAGCCATGGAGTTCGTCCGGTCTGTGGTCAGTCTGAGGTTTGTCTCGCTCTGTAATCAAAAGCCGGCCGGTCAGCACCAACAGCCTCTCCGTCCCGGTGTCCCCCAAACCAAACCAAACTGAACCGTACCGTACCGTATCGTTGTGAACCCAACCCAGCTCAACCCAACCAACCGGAGCAGCTTGGACATTCAATCGCTGAGTCAACTAAAATTTTTGTTTTTGCTTCAAAAAACTGCATTTAATTGTTAAGCAAAATGCCAAGCTCGTTATGGATAGAGTTATTGCCAAGATACCCGTATATACATGTGTAAGCATTATATTTGTTGTGTATGGGCTACAAGTTGATATAATTCAAGCTGGCTCATTGACAACATGGAATACCCTATCAAATAGGGATGTGATAAAGCTGGGTATATGAAAATAATGATAATATAGAAATGACAAATATATCTATACAAATATTTCCTGATTTAAAATATGTTCCCAATCAAAAACTAGAGTTTTGTGAGAAAATTTAGATTAAAATGGATATCAAACGAATGTAAAAAGTTAATGGATTAACAGAATTTCCTTATATAATACTTGTTCTCGATTGTGTCTGGGATACATTATCAATCGATATCTTTCATTTTGTCTGGTATATCGACATTTTACTTACATCGATAAAACTATAGATATGATCAAAGAATCGTCATAGAAGGCTAATCATAATTTTTATTGACTTCCTCCATTTTGTATCGATAGTTTTTAAGAGACTATTGATAAATCTTTTTAATTTATTATGAACGAATCTCACGGTATTATCCATAATACTGGTATCCTTGAATTTGTTAAAAAATTATTACTACTATCGACACTAAAAATTGATGATCAACTATCTATAGACTTGGTGTAAAAATAATATTAAATTAAAGTATTATACTATTAAGAATCTACATAGAATTGAGGATATTGGGATTTTCTTAACTTTTAAGGGGCATCATCAGCCCGATGATCATTTTGCCTTGAGAGTTTAGCCATTTGCTTCCGTTGAGCCGCCGCTGCTCATGTCAGGTGGCACACCCCACACCCGCCCACCACTCCACCAGCCCACCCGACCTCACCCCATTGCCAATACACGAAAACACCATACCGCACACCACACACCTCGGGCAGCGAGGGGCAGGTCCGACTGTTTGCACAACATGTATAATATGATTGCTGAACCCGTTTCGAGTTTTATGTAGTTATTTTTGTTACAATTTTGCCCGCTTTGGGTTTGGCCAATCAAGTGCGGAAGTGCAGAGCAGACAGTGAAACAGAGAGAAAGACAAACAGACAGAGAGAGGGACAGAGACAGACGGAATTCGAGCAGTTTGCATATTTAAATAATAAAAAGTGCAATTGGAAAGGTAAACAATTTGAAGTTTAATCGTTACGACATTTAACGCTTTATTTAATTATTAATTGATTTCCAATGCACGCTATAACTGTATCTTTAGCTTTATGGCACGTTAAAGCCGTTATCAACTTGAACTGACTTTTAATAATGCAATTTATTTTTGTGTCTCTTTCACAGCCTTTGACAACAACAATCATCATACGCCGCTCGTCTCCGCCCATCGAAAGGTGAGTCTCACTGTTGATTTAGTTTTATTTCAGCTTTTTTACGGCTCGTTAAGACTTTGAAATCTTTCACGTGTGTCACCGCCATCGAACCAAACCACTAAAACCACAGACACAGTGAACTTTCCAAGTGCTTACCGATTACAGATTAGAATTATGGCTCGTTAAATCTCCGTAAATGAGCTCACTTCGCTCTATACATGTAGGCAGTATCCATTTGATGTTGTTGTAGCTGAGCTCAAAGGTTCCGGTTCGAGTTTTAATTAAGCTTTTCATAGTCGTTATAGTATAATACCAGATAGTGTGGCAATAGATTTGCTAAATTAAAGTGGATTTTGTTAAATTTTCAATAAGCAAATCAATCGTAAGCAATATTTTTGGCAATGAGCTGGACAGTTTATGCAAATAATCATATTTACATTGGTATATAATGGATATTTGCAGGGAATTGTAATGTAAAAAGTTAAAATAGTCATAAAATTTTTAATTTATACAAAATTAAAAACATTGAAACTTTTCCGAACACTAATAACAATAACAATAATAAAATCAATCTTGTCATTATTTAGATTCAAGACTTTGAGTTCATTTCGTAATTAGGGCACCTCAAAACCTTAGATCAAACAAAGAAAGAAGTCAAAGCTCTCTTGTTATTATTATTATTATACGACTTTTCCCCAACTATAAATGTGATTGAATATTTCTGCTAGCTACCCACATATTATTTAGAGCCCTTTCAGATAGTATGCTTATTAATATTTTTCCTTTGCCTCACACACACACATTCATTAGATTCTTATAATTACAAGAATTTGAAGGTACTCGAAGAATGTGCAGGTTTTTTTTCCTGCTGTTTTGTTCTCACATATAACAAGACAATGGAATTGCCTTATGCTAAGCAGGGAGAACAGCGAACGACCTCCATTGAGTAGGCTGCATATTTCTCACATGCACACACCCATTACAGCAACAGCGATAGTTAATTGAAAACCAGCAACAACAGCAACTGCAACAGCAACAACAACAACAACAACAACTGAAGCTAAAAGATACATTAAAATGAAGGCGTAGAGAAACTCGCGCTTCCATGTTACGAACTTCGTAGGCAGCTGCTGCGGCTGCTTTGTCTGTTGTAAATGCAGGCGTTGTATGTTGCCGATGTTGTTGTTGCTGTTGCTGATGTTGCTGTTGCAGTTGCGAGTAGTTTTAATTACCTACCAATCCATGCCTGCCCCAAAACCTACCAACAACACGACGACGACGACTACTAACGATCATCATGTGAATTCTCTGCGCCTGCGCATTTCCTCTCAGCCCGTCTTTAGGGTTTTCACTGTGGGAAACATAAGCCCAAAAATGCATTCTTCGTGGCTCTCCCAAAAAAATAACTAAATAAATTTACTTTCGCACTTCAACTTAGCTGAGAGAGACTGGGGAATGGAACGGAATGGAATGGGTCCGGCCGTAGCATCTGTGTAAATTACCGTAAAATTGGTGGCTTGCATCGCCAGCAACCATCAACAACAATGCCAACAACAACAACAACACTTTCACACATTATGCCTTGGCAGCTGTTGTCCATTTTGTTTTATAGCCTGCTAAAAATTTGTGAGGTATTTTTTTCACATTTTCTGGCGCTTTGTCACGCTATGCGGAAAATGGAAAGCGGCTCTAGAACCCTTTGAGAATTATATGCCTTTTATGCTATAGCATGGGTGTAGTATAGGGTTAGGTATTAATGCTTTTATAACATGAATTGCTAGCAGCTAAGAATATATACGTGGGTGCCAGTACATAGTGGGAATGAGTAATAATAACATGATCAAATTACCTTGAAATTTAAAATATGATGATATTTAAATCTGATGATATAAAATATCTATTAAGTTACTATATGATATGTTAGTTTTATTTTTTTAATATTCAGAGTAGCTAACACTTCATTTATGCTATATTAAAATCTTCCATATCATTGCAAGAATAAATTAAAATTGATTAGAAATGGGGGAAGAATTAGATAAGTAATTGAAAATTATAAGTTACCGGCGATAAATCGTCAAATAATATTTTATTTATTATTTATTCGACTTTATCAGCCTCACTCTCTCCCTGTCTCTCTCTCTCTCTCTCTCTATCTTTCTCTCTCTCTCTATCTATCTCCTATGAAGAGGATTTTAGATTCAAATACCGAAGCTTAAAAATATCTTTTTAAATCAATAAATCTCTCTAAAAACTTTTAAATGATTCTAAAATATGGTTATAAGAAATTTGTTTATATATTCTATTTGTTTATATATTCTAATGCAATGGTACTTCAACTTCAGAAACTCTACGGTTTTCTCTAATTGTTCTGGTGCATTTTCATATTTGCCAAGCTTTCCAAGCGAAAACGAAAATACACTTTCGGTCTGAGCTTTAGGGATTTCTGAAAGTCTCTTATGCAAGAATCATTTCAACCCCAAACGACAAACAGTCGAGGGGTTAGAATTGTGCCTCGTGTCCAGTGCAGGTTAAATTGAAAAATATTTCAGCAATTATCATAAATTTAGTTTGTTTTTGTTTTCGTTTTGGGGTTGCTTTTGGGCCCCCCGCCCAGAAATGAAATGCAAAAAAAGCGACTGCAATGCGCAAATTTCCATTTCATATGAGCTGTTTATTTTGGGGTTTAAATTTTGTTTTTTCGTCAGACTTGGGTGCGATTCGTTAAGCGTTTATTTTAGCAACAGCAATTGAAATTGAGTGGCAAAGGCATTGGAGGGTCGGAGCTAACTCAGAGCTAGTGGAACTACTAAGTATTGTTATTGTTGCTTTGCTGAGTGCCATCGTGTGCAGTGACATTTTCCGCTAAAGTGCACTCAAACATGGTTGACCTTTGCTTTTGGGCCAAATCGCTGTCAGATACATGACTTAAGTACTCGTTGCTTGGCCCCGACTTATGCAATCGACAAAAATGACTTAAATGACAAAATCGACCGAGCCGCAACCTATAAATGCGGAACTTGTGGCATCTACATATCATGTGAACATTATGATGCAAAATATTGATGATCGCGGCTGTGGTAATAGCAGATAGACAGGCAGACAGACAGACAGACAGAAAGACAGAAAGAGAGACAGCCAGACATTTAGATAGATAGAAAAGAGATATGCACTTATGCATGTTTATAATACTTAGTGGCCCAACAAATTGCTGGCAGTCTACTAACCGCAAAAGTCTTCATCAGGCAAAACCGCTTCAAAAGCTGCCTGCGAGTCGGTCGTCTCCTGGTTTTCCGGATTGGCTCGTGATCAGCTAACTGCCTGACTGCCTGCCTGGCTGCTTGCCTGACTAACTAGCTGACTGACTGACTGTCTGTCCGATTGTCTGACTATCTGTCTGGGCTGGCAGCTTGCTTTTCAGTTTGATATGTGGAAGCTGTAACCAGGAAGTTGCCTTTTGCGGTTGCCAACCAGCCAAAACAGCAGCAGGCGACAGCTAAGGTCGCCCAAATGTCGCAGCTCTCTATGCGCTATGGGTGGGTGTTGCTAAAAGGCAGCTAAAATTGGAATAGTAAAGAATAGAAGAAAAGAAAAAATCCGAATTGAAGAATATTGTATACCCTAAAGCTCAGAAATTAAATTAAAAATTACCTTAACAGATTTTATTAATATATTTATTTATATGTAATCAAATAGTATTTAGTTTACCGAACTATATAATTTCTTTTAATCAGATGAGATGCTTTGAGAGATAATTTATTCTTCTAGGTGCCAAGCGATAAGGATATCAGGCAGGCTTGAATTAGTTCTTTATGGTATATAATTATTTTTTGATTCTCCTAATTCTTGATGATATTAATTTAAGTCTAATCTAGAATTAATTAATTAGAATTAATGAGTTCTATATTTGACAGTAAATATGAAAAATTAAACATTTCAGCTGATTGTAATAACCTGTTCTCCCTTTTCTATAAATATATCGCTCGGTTTTCAGCTTACGTCTTATCCGGAATCTCATTAAATAAGAAAAAATAACAGGATTTTGTTTTTGACATAATCAAATTAGCAATGATGATATATGAATCACTCTATAACTGATATATAACTATATATATTCAGGTGATAAAAAAGGAAAATTTTAAGCAAAAATTTCGATTATGAACAAAACTTCAAAGAGAGACTTCATTAAGTAATAAATTAGAAGGATATTCGATATTTCATGATAGCCATCTTCCATTTCCAACTTCCCCCAACAAGATCAAGATCGAATTGATCTTAACCCCATGCAAGGGCATAAATAAAACTCTCAAACCCCTCGTCACTCCCTTTGGTGGATGCGCCTCACCGCACTCGAGTGCATGCGTAAACCTTCAAAAGTGAAGCAGTCGTTGGAGAGGGAAAAGGGCTTGCCAACGGGTCGTCCAATGCAATGCCTTAAATGGCATTTGTAGAGCTGCTGGCGCAGCTTGTGCTATTTGTAGTTCGATTTACATTAAACCAATAAAGCATTGCATTGACTGACATATAGACGTTGTGCGGGAAGTTTTGTAATTGGTTTATAGGTCTTGTGAGTTTTTGTTTTCTATTTTGGGTGCGGTTCCCTTTTCGACTAAACTTGTGACCCGCAGCGGTGACAACTTGACATTTGAGAGGCAGCAAAATAGGATTATTTTTCTACACATTTGACAGCTCTCATAAATTGGGTTAGGCATGTGTTGGCGAATTGCCAAAGATTTCCCCAAAAAAGGGCAGGGCAAACAGAAAATTAAGTAATTAAAACGCTGGATAGGGTTATGACCATATCTGTAAGATTTACTCTTGAATTATTATCTGTGGGATTAATTGATTTTTTAGGCGTCCAGGAAATGGCCGAAAATAGCTTAAGTCCTATTATAGTAGATCGAGTCATTAGATTGCGTTGCTAGCTTGGAAGTTCATTAATTTTTTTTTTTTTGCTTGCAAGTTCATCATGCTACACATATTTTATAACTAAACTGTTCTCACACATCTATTAAGTGTCCTAC